CCACACTCCCCCGCCCGGCAGCGTAGGAGAGGGGTGTTCTGCCCCTATTGTCCTGTAATTCGGCGTTGACCCCGTCCCGTTCCAGCAACAGCTTCACTGACCCCACTTTCCCACCCCCTGCAGCGTAAGAGAGGGGTGTTCTGCCCTCATTGTCCTGCAATCCGGCGTTGACCTCTTCCTGTTCCAGTAACAGCTTCATGGTTTCGACACTTCCCCGCCATGCAGCGTAGGAGAGGGGTGTTCTACCCTCATTATCCTGCAATCCGGCGTTGACCTCTTCCCGTTCCAGAAACAGCTGTACGGTTTCCAGACTTCCACTCTCGGCAGCATAGGAGAGGGGTGCTCTACCCTTATTGTCCTGTAATTCGGCGTTGACCTCTTCCCGTTCTAGAAGCAGCTTCACAGTTTCCACACTTCCCGACCCCGCGGCGTACCAGAGCGGCCCCCTGCCATAATTGTCTTGCGATTGCGGGTCGACCCTTTCCTGATTCAGAAGGAGCTTTACTATTCCTTCATATCCAGCCCCGGCCGCCCAGGAGAGCGCCGTTCGCCCCATTTCAGCGTCTTTAGCTTCGAAATTGGTGTCTTCCCGTTTCAGAAATAGCTTCATTATTCCTTCGTGCCCATTTCTAGCAGCCCAAATCAGTGGTGTACAGCTCAGAAAATCAGCTTTATTGATATCCACGCCCTCCATCTCCAATAGCACCCTTGCAATCTCATCAATACCCAGAAAAGCCGCACAGTGAACGCCGGTAAATCCCTCAGGCTGGTTTCCCTCGCGATATCGCAGCTGAGAAACCTTTGGACGGAGAAGGAGCTTGGCTGCGATATGACCGTCAAAATTAATTAGAAGCCGAATTGCAAGCAATTTCACACTCTCTGTGGTTTCATTTCTTGCATAAGGTCCCCAGTATGTGGAAGCGTATTCAAGGAATGGAGTTGTTGATGGGGCAGCGTCCAGAGCAGGTGAAAGCTTATTGACATAATCATAGCTCAAATATGTCAGGCAAACCCCAGCCAGCGTTGCATATGGGTTCCGAAAGATTTCCGAATGGCTATCGAGATATTCTTGAAGTGTGAAGTGCACTAAACGAACGGTTGAACCCGTTTTATCGACCGTAATAAGCCCAAGGCATGCGGCCAGCAATGTCTGTATGGAAGGGACTCTTTCGGGGTTGATATCGGTAGACCCGATATGAACGCCTAGAGCATCGCATAACTCGCCCGTAGTCATTGGCCGCTGCGATCGAGAGATCCACATTAGAGCGGCTTTACCGAATCTCGCTTTAGCTCCTCCTTGGGCCTCCATTCTGTCCAAAGCCACGCGATAGGCGTCGCCTAAACCGAGTCCGTTCGTCATTCTCTTGAGCTGCTCTCGTCGATCGTAGATTGTTGCCTCTGCCAGTATCGCCGTTATGTTTAGCGAAACCAGCAGAAATCTAAGCGCAATTGTCAGCGATTTCTTGGGATTCCAACAGAAAATGTGCCACCACATACACTCCGGAGATTGTTTCGGAAACTTGTTTCATGATTTCAGCCCTAAGATCCGCGTTCATTGCTTCCGGTTCGGGGTCTTTGTCCAACATCATCTCGAGATATCTCATAATATCCTCCATCGTTGGCTTTATCTTGAGGAGCTGCGCGCTCTCGGAAAAACGTTTCTCAATCTCACGATGGATATGGGGTCTTCCGGTAATAAACAAACGTATTTTAGGGGACCACTGCGAAACGGTATACAATGCCGGCAGAAGTTCGGACAGGTGCTTCGCCAGGCATTCATCCAAGGCATCAATACAGATAAAAGCCGTCTGGAGTGGAGCAAGAGCAGCCCGTAAGAGTGAAAGAAGCTCTCCAATCCGGAGACCTCGGCCGCCAACCTGACGCTTTGCTTCCTGGAATGCATCGTCGATCTCTCGTGGAATCACTCCTAACCCCCGTATAATTTGCTTGAGAAGGGCACCCAATACATTCTCCGGTGTTTGGGTCTTTTGGTGCTGAAAGTCGCAATAGAAGCAAGCGACCGCGACATTCTGCCCCACACTCTGATCGCATAAGCTATCAATCACCAGAGAGCTAATGTCGCGGTTAGTTACCGACATGCTCTCCATATATAAAATCGCTCAGGCCCCATACCTAAGATATGTTTTGCCAACTCCCGGAGCACCAGAGCAAAACAGGATAGCTTTGTCAGACTCATTCTTGCCACCGCGCCAGTTGATAAACTCGTCGCTTTCCAAAAGCCATTCCCCTACACCATCTAGCCGGTTGGTCCGCACATCTTGGTGGCGCTCGCGAGGTTCCAGCGGTGATAGCCACCGGAGGACCTGGGGCTCTTCGTCCACATATGTAGTGTTGTAGCTATTTGTCACGTTGAAGCTGTTTTTGTGGCCTGTCCCGGTAGCATTAGGATCGATGTCGATTCGCGGAATCATGTTTGGAATGTTGTCAGGTAGCCGAGAGTGATACCGGTGGTGAGTGTTGGAGGTGTGAGGTGGTAGTCCGGATAGAATAACTCGGGGGGTTGAAACTGGTGGAAATAGGGGGTTGTGGTGTTCTCCATGCCCATCCCCGCGCGTCCTGCGCAACTGTACAGTACTTGTACTCGAGTACCTGTGCTCGAAGATGATAGGGCGCCTAGAAAGCAAGGGATGAAAGAAACCCGATCTTTAACGCGCGGGACGGAGCCACAGCCCCTTTCGAGTTTTACGAGTAAACTCAATTTTCTACATCCCAGCTGATAGTAATCTATTGCTACAGACTAAATTAAACATGCGATAACTTGCCTAATACCTCCCAAAATTGAATTAAAAAAACCCCCCTTTAAGTACAGTACTTGAACTCATATATTTCATGAGAATAAGTGTATGAGTGCGGCTCTAATGGGCCCTATCACATCTGGTAGAGAGGCTGAGGGAGTCGAATGCACGAGCATAGCGTCTCTCAACCCTTGATCGCGAATCGCAACGCCAAGATTTACCTCAAATCCTAGACAAATTATCAGCCTCACCTCTTCCGCGGTTGCAGTACCTTGAGAGTCTGACTAGGTTACACATTTTCGAATAAAAGATACGGTACATACAATTCACCGGACCAAAAACAACGGCTATTACACGCGGCAACCAGCAGGGGGTCATCAAGGTGGACGGACGACCCGCCTGGGAGCACAATTTACATCTAACATATTCCAACCCCTATCATGATATATCACTCATTTTCTTGGCGCCAGGCGCCAATCGCGATGATTCAGTAGCGTACGGCACCGCAACCCAACACAGGCCCAAACACCAAAGTCCGGGGCTCGAAGCCAGCTTACATTTGCACACTGCCATCTATAAACTATAAGCAGATACTTTGCGATTTTTGTCACTTTAAAGCCCTCTCATTGGTCGAGTTTCTGATTTGCTTTTTTGAGGGTTAGGTAATGGCCAAATCCTGGGTCTCTGATTGGTTAAGAGGTTTAAAGGTAGGCCAAATATGATATCACTTTTCAAAGAGGTTAATGATATCATACTATTAGAAATAGACGATAAAAAGGTCAATGATGTCATAGCCAGAGTATGGCAGGTTATAAAGAGGCCAATGGTACCATATTACAATAGTTAACTTAAAGAAAGATGCTAGAATCAACCATACTATAATAGTATTGTTTCATACAATTCATAGTAATACTATGATATAATGCCAGAGTACAATATTTAGCCTATACCATTTACAGAAAGATTGATAATATGGTAGTACTATTACCTAGTGTATGAACTAGCCAATAGTACAATAAACTGTGATAAGATCTGTAAAGCAATCAATGATATCATAACTATTTAGTTGACTTTAGAAAGTATGTTTTGGTACATCAATACTATGACTAAGTGTCAAAAGTTGTTCAAAAGAGCATAATTGTATCTTAATAGTATTTTGTACATTACAAATAAGCCAACACTCCGGCATGATCAATGATATCATAATATCATGGTTACTCGTAATCTAAGATAAATGATATCATAATATTACTATTAATTTAAGGTCAATGATGTCATAACAATAGGAAAATATATTTACAATAAAGTTAATATTATTATAATATTACTTTAAGAAGAGGGATAAAAGGACAATAATCCCTACGACCGTCACATACTGAGTTCAGTTGATACTTCAAGCCAACCTTTAACAGCTCAATACACATATGACCACTTTTCATAAGATTTCTTGATTGTTCCTTTTTACACATTTATTCTTTCTGAAAGATTTCTTAGCCCTCTTGAATAGTTCTATTATAACTATATCTTTTACAACTTTTCTTTCATGTCTTTCAACTATCGTGATAATAATACTGCTTATATTTCCTGTTTGATCGAGTTTACTATGAGAAATAGTAAATCTAACTTTCGGAAGATTTCTACTTTCTCTTTAAGTTGTATGGACTTTCAGTTTTCTATATCTGAAGATATTGTTGATATGGATGAACTACCATGTCAATTGGTATCCAATGTTGGCGACTTACTTCCAGAGCCTACTGAAGGCTCAGTTGGAGTTTGTACAGGATCACTTTGTGATTTTGGAGGAAGTATTGGTATAAAAATCACAGTAAGCAATGTGAACGAGTAAGTTAAAGTATTTTTTATTTCCTCAGATATGAATGCTTTCTGTTCAAGGAAGCTTACCATTTAAGCTAATTAATAAAACAGATTTCCAGGGAATCCTACTGAGTCATATACCACCGATGGTATTAGCAAATATATTCATCGTCGGAAAGACTGTGCAAAGTCATAGAGCTTCATCGGTTACTAGTTCTTTAGAACCTAGAGGATGGAGAAGTTTCGATATTAGGACTGGGTCTTATGATTGGGAATCACGAGCCCGAAAGTCATTTACAATTGGGTGTTTCTTAAAGAATCATCCCCAATGGCAAAGATTTAATATTCCTGATATTAATGATTTGGTCCAAATTCAGGGAAGACTAATTGGAAGACTTAAACATAAGGATACTCGGTTTCAATATCTCTGTTGTCGTATTGAAGACTTTTTTGTATTTGGTTCTCAACCAAAGTCTGAAAGGCCGAGTATGTCAGGTACTACTCACGATGATATCTCTCAGACTAAGAAGGGACTAGCAGCTGGCACTACCCAATCTCTTCAACCAAAAAGCTGGACTGCCTGATCTAAATCTCGCATCATACAGCAAAACTCAGTCTCTAAGTCTCATCCCTTAAGTGATACTTCCTCTTCATCACCCCAGCCTCTTTCTCCATCTTTACCGATTGGTCACAATAATAATCTCTCTCCACCATCAAAGCGATCATATACCCAAGCCTTCAGTTCTGTGAATGATGATGGCCTTTACACTCCTCCAATGATTCCTTCCAATAATCCTTAAGTTCGCTCTCCAATTACTTCTAGCCAACCAGAATCACCAATCCTCCATTCTCAAGTCATATCCGATCATGACTATATTCCTTCTTCACAATTAGAATCTTCTGATGAACCACCCCGACGCTCAAATCGGCCTCGAAAACCTAACTCAAAGTTTTTTCATTAATAATTAAATTTTAATGGTCTGTTGTATAATTATTCATTTTCATACATAATATTTTCTTCCTTTATATTTTTCACATATGATATTCCATAATATTATTATCTATCTTCTATATTATTCAAATAAAGTTTTTTGCTTTCTTATTCTCTTATTTCTACTCTAATATATACTTAAATTAGTATATTACTTTCTTAATTGTCCAAATTACTATTCCAGTTTCTACTTAAACTTATATATTAAAAGATGTTTTACTATTATATATTTTGAAGTTATAATATTATCTATTTCATTAATTATACCAGTATTTAAAAACTATACGAATCATTTCCACTTATAGCAAAATACTCACACTTCCCACTCAAGGAAGAATATATACGGATTGTAGTTCTTCGATCTAATTAGACTGGTTACATTTAATATTGGTTGTATGAGATAGTTGTGAAAGAGAACCGAACATATAAAGACAGGTTCATGTCCACCTTTCATGAAGATTAAATCAAACCTTCATATTAGTTATCAAGTCACTATAAAGTTTAAAAGGCTTGCTAGCCTAAATCAATCATTTCGGTATATATTTAAACCAGCTACTTTACTTAGAGAGACTACTAACTATATATTATAGAAATATGGTACTCGTTGAAGTTCTTACTACAATGTCACCTACGAGAAATATACGAACCCGGGCCGAAATTGCTGAAGCAAACCAAGCTCTAATCACACGACGAAGACAACGGCTGTACGACTCTCAGAACAACTCCCTTCCTCAAGCAAATACTATTGATTCAAGATCTCATCAGAGTAAGTACTTTCACTTAGTTATATGATATATTTTCACAATAAATTACCTCCTTAAATGATATATTCTTCTGAAAAAACACTAAGAAGTTAATTAGGTTCAGAATGGTGGAATATAGTACCAACATTAGCTATTCAACAGTTGATTAATAATTGGAGCCATACATGCTCCTGGTGTGGAGCTGATCTGTTAACTACAGAGGCAAATGGTTGGTGTTGTACTAAAGGAAAATATATCGTTCCAGCATTGCCACCTTATTCTTCTGAACTGAATCGAACGATTGACTCTAATCAAAACCTACTGGGATCCCAATCGCGCCGTTTGAATAGCATCTTTGCATTCACTTCAATTGGTGTTACTGGTGGCTTTCGCCAATTACCAATACCTTCGAATGTGGCAATAACTGGTCGTGTTTACCACCAGTTACACGATATTACCCAGGGAAGCCAATCACTCCGATGGTTTCTGTATGACGAGCAAGGACACAATAGAGTAGCTACAGAACAAGGAATCTCCTCTGAGTTGGTAACGAAATTTCATCAAGAGCTAGTTACCCGAAATCCTTTTATTGCTCAACTTCAACACTCCTTCAATTCCAGGTTGACCCAAACTCTTACTGTGGAATTGCGAGCTTCATCAACTGGTGGTGATATTGCAGCACTTATTCATGGCAACAATCTTTATCAAGTCAATCCTCGAAGCATTCTCATACACTATAATGGAAGCTTAACTCAACACAAAATCGATATTCTTTCACCTTTTTATGAGCCTTTGCAATATCCGATATTCTTTCCAGAAGGGACACCAGGCTGGTCACCAGATGCTCCAATGAGTCAAATCCGATGGTATCGAGGACTTCTCACAACTGAGAAGTGATTTCTACAGTTTGGTCATCTAACTGGCGAGTATTTAGTGGATATGTATTCTCGTGTTGAAGATGAGTGACTATCCTATATTCGACAAGCTTTACAACAGCAAATGAATCAAGTTGAAGAATTTCGACAACAAGATTCTCAAAACCAGCATCGGCATAACCATCTGGAATCATATTCAAATCGAGGAATTGTACTTCCTGTATCTTTTCTAGGGTTTCGAGCTTGGGCTGCCTCAGAAGTAGCAGATTCATTAGCACTTTGTCGCTCAAAGAGAAAACCATCCTTTTTTATTACAATTACAACAAATCCGAATTGGCCTGAGATTCAGCAAAAGCTTGCTCCTGGGCAAACTGCCTTAGATATACCAGTTATTGTTTGTCGTGTTTTTAAAGCATGATTAGAAATGGCTATTAAAGCTATACGAAAACATCTTGGCAAGATTGTATACCTTATTCGAGTGGTTGAATTTCAAAAACGAGGTCTTCCTCATGCCCATCTTGTGGTTAAGGTATGTAAATTTCAGATTTTTAACCTGTCAAAGTCTACTATTCTGCATTCGAATTTAAGTTTCCTATATATAAAGTCTGTCAGTAATTAATAGTTATTTTCTCCATTTAGACACATCCAGAACTGCCCTTCGAAAAAGTGGATCAACTGATATCTGCACAAATGCCTGACCCGAATACCGACCCAGAATTACATCACATTATTACTCGATTTAACTGCCATCCGACAATGCACCTCTCAATATCCTATAGCCGATGTAATTGCAATGGATCTTATGTATAGGGGTTTCCTAAAGACCTACAACCTTCAACAACTTTAAACAACCATGGCCGAGTATGCTATAAGCGTATCAAGGAGGAGGATTGCTATGTTGTATCATATATGCCTTTTCTTAGCAGATTGCTTGAATGTCATGTAAATGTTGATATTTGTTTTACTGTCAATGTTTTTATATATTTGTATAAGTATCTTTTTAAAGGGCCTGATCGGACACTTTTCAACATTATGCTAGATGAATTTCATGATGAAATTGCTGACTATATTGATGCCCGATATCTCTCAGCTTCTGAAGCAGCCTGGCAAATTCTCGAATACAACATCTCAAGAAAGGAACCCTCAGTCAAAGTATTATCTATTCATTTTTCTAACCAGTATCTCTCTTAAATATATCGGGCAAATAATAGTCAATCGGCAGCTACAACACTTCTTCGCTACTTCGCCAGACCCCGAATCCCAAGTCTTAAAACCCTTCTCTATACCGAGTATTATGAAAAATACTGTCTATATCCAATGGCCTCAAACATGACACAAAATTCAGCAAGTCTTCGTCCTGATGATCTCTTAGAGATACCAGATCAGCAATTTCCACAGCAAATCATTCGGGTACGATCACGTGGTGAGGTTGTTGCCCGAATTCGTACTGTTCCTCCTCGAACTGGTGAATTGTTCTACCTTCGTACTTTACTCTTACACAAATCCGCTATCAGTTTTGAAGACCTCTGATCTGTGGGAAATACGATCTATACCACATTCCAAGAAGCTGCTTCTGCTTTAGGCCTATTCTAAAATTCAAATGAGGCACAACTAGTTTTGGCTGAAGCTACCAATAATTTCGCCTCCCCCCATCAGCTTCGATTCCTCTTCTGCCAGTTACTTTTAAATTTTCCTACAAATACCATTACACTCTTTGATCTCTATCAAGAGCAGTTAATGGCTGACTATCTAGATCAATTTCGCAGTGCTGAGCTCGCTACAGATTTTGCTCTTAGTGATCTTGAAAGATATTTGAACAGTCAAGGTTCAAAATTAGCTGATTTTGGCTTACCTCAACCTGAGTAGCACACATCATTGCTACAACTTGAGCAAGCCAGCAGCTCTAGTCAATATACTTATCTTACTTCGAAATACCAAGAGGACGAATTATCGCTTTCAAACGAACAACTCGATATATACCATACCATTTTGGAGTCTTTCTATATACCATCAGTTGATCGAAGACAGACTTGCTTTTTTATTGAAGGCAAGGCTGGTCGTGGCAAGAGTTATACAGCAAATGTATTGGTTAATAGGCTTCGGAGTGAGGGATATATTGTGTTAGTTGTAGGCTCGACTGCATTGAGTGTTACTCAATATGACCGGGGACGAACTGCCCATTCGGCTTTTGGTATTCCAGTTACTGAGGTAAAGTCATTATTCACTTTACTTTTGTTCTTTTATTACTTTTATATAAGGTGTTTAATTTATTATTTAACTATTATAAAAAATATGAAATAGTACTATCAAGTTACCCAAACTGGATTATTGAGGCTAATATTCAAATTGTTAACCTACAGAATCATATGGAATTACAGTCCAGAATTGGGCCACATTCAGACCATGCACAGTTCCTACGAAATGTCGATATCATATTTTGGGAGGAGTTACCAATATCAAATTGAGCTGCTATCGAATGTACAAATGCTTTACTACAACTCTTAATAGGTAGTACTAAGCCATTTGGTGGAAAGATTGTTATAGGACTAGGGGACTTTCGCCAAGTAGCTCCAGTAGTAAAGAATGGTGGTCTAACAGCATCTCTTGATGCTTCAGTTCGATCATCATGGCTTTGGAAACACTTTCAAATCCTTCGTCTACATCAACCAGTCCGCAATGCTCAAGATCCAACTTATTCAGAATGGGTTGATTCAATTGGTGAGGACTTCTCAAATAGTGGTACAACCGATTTGCCTTTGATTAGTAGACTTGATTCATATGACCAAATCATAGACTTTCTTTTTCCTAACTCTATACTTTTCAATCCATTTGATGTTTATCAGAGGTCCTTTTTGAGTCCTTTAAATATTTATGTTGATAAATTTAATCTTCAAATGCTTGATAAAATTCCAATTATGACAGGTAAGCTTTTCAAATCCTTCCCTCCGAGAATTAAAATCTTTCGCTGACAAATGATATATATTTGCTTATAATTAAAAAATATTAAGATGCTAATGGGAAAATATTATATACAGAATATAAATACTTCAGTTATGATAGTATAAAGGACTCAGATGGAGAAGCCAGACAGGGAGAAGGAGATGGGAGATCTCCGAATATGGCTCTGAGAGGTCAGATTTCAACTCCAGAATTTCTTCATGAACTTCAGGAGCCTGGAGTACCACCATATGAACTTCGGTTGAAGGAGTCAGCAATTTGTGTGCTAATACGAAACCTGTCATTGGAGGAAGGATTGGTTAAGAATGCAAGAGTGGTAATAACTAAGCTTTTGGAAAATGTTATTGAGGTATAGTTAGTTGGAGGTGAGAGAAGGCAGGGGAAAAAGTTTCATCTTCCAAGAATTATATTTGAATTTCAGCCACGATATTGCTCTTGGACAATGCAACGAAAGCAGTTTCCTCTCCGATTAGCATATGCAACTACTTTTAATAGTTGCCAGGGTTTAACCTTGAACAGAGCTGTGATTGACCTATGAGTAGCACCTTTTACACATGGGCAACTGTATACAAGTATTTCAAGAGTTAGACATCGGGATGATATTCGCTCATTCTCTGATTCTGAAAATGAGAAAGGTGTTACAACTAATGTTGTATATC